ATGGACCTTTGGTCTGACCCAGGACGGCCATTGTAAGCTCAGGGCTCAGGGTCGGGGGGCTCAGTGGACCCCCTTGATTTTCTTGCACACCTGCTCCTGGGTGGCCAGGCTGGCAGCTCTCCTGCCCTAGATGGCCACTTTCCAGTGCCTAGTGCGGACGTCGTGGACGAGGTCCATGATGTCTGCACTAGCCCAGGCGGGGGCCCGCCTCTTGCGGTCCCGGGGAAGCTCCCGGGAGCCGCCAGCCTGGTCCCGGGAAGAGGGGGAGGGCTGGGGGGCATCAGGTGGGTGGCTCGATCCGTGCCAGGTGCAGGGTCTGCTGGCTGGGTGCTGGCAGGCTTGCACCTGGCACGGGCACCGTAGCCAGCCCATGCCCCTTTAAGGGGTCTGGGGCCGGGAGGGGGGCAATAGAGTTTCCCTGGTGTTGGCCAGAGTGGCCACCCGGGAAAGCTGGGGAGGGCTAGCCTCCCACTAGTTCGAATTAAGGGGCTACACACCCCTTAATTCGAACTAGCTAGTTCGAACTAGGCTTAATCCTCGTGCAATGAGATTTTCCTAGTTCGAACTAAGCACTCCACTAGTTCGATTTAAATTCAAACTAGCGGAGCACTAGTGTAGCACCTATTAAAGTTAATTCGAACTAACGTCTGTTAGTTTGAATTAACTTTGTAGTGTAGACATACCCCTCATAATGTTATAGTCCATAGGAATAATTAAGGTACAGAAAATGTCTTTGTATTAGAAGTAGAATGGATCTCTCCCTTTTGACTTGAATGTGGCCCTGTTGAATGAATGAGGTGTGAATGAATGAGGTGTGGAAAGCAAGCACCTCTAAACAGCTGCAACAGTTGAAGAGGGGACTAGGACCAGATCCAAGGACAATAAGACCTGTCAAGTGCACCCATTGAGAAAGATCAGACATACTGAAGCCCTTCGGAGTCAGAAGCAAGCACTTCATTTGAAAGCAAATTCCCAAACCCTCTTTGAAGATGAATGTAGCAGCAATGACATCCAAAAGGCAGCACCACAAATGACTAAATGACACAACTAGAGTGCATAGATTTGCAAAAGATGACTAATAGATCTGCATGAGAGGAACCCTACTATAAATGTAAGGTGTCCTGCTGGGGACCCTGAGTCATGTCTTGTCAACACTGGAGCATTGATCCAGATAGGCAGAAGCCTGGCTTCTCCCCTCCCCCGTCTAACTCACCTGGCCAGTGAAGTTAAGGGGAGCAACCACTGGTAAAAACAACAAGACAGAGTGTGTGTGTGTGTGTGTGTGTGTGTGTGTGTGTGTGTGTGTGTAATGGATCATATGCATGTGATATAGTGTTGATTGATATATGCATTGCCAATAAATGTGGCATTTTGCCTTATCCCCCTGAAAAAGATCCCGTGCAGTTCTTTAAGCACAACTGTCCCTGCCTCACCTCACACCCCTCTCTTCAGCCTTGCCCATGGGTGTTAATAATTCACCTTCCCAAGAGACAATAGCTAGGAGAACAGAAAAATTCTTCTGTTGACCTCATACAGTCCACCCTAGATGTTAAATTGGCTGTTAATTTTTCACATACTTAGGCGACATATTGGGGTCAACCTAATTTTGCCGTGTAGACCAGGCCTTTGATTATCCTGGAGAATGCAATTCTCTTGGTGCAGAAGGAACAGAATCCCAGTCACTCCCTTAGCCATCGGCACCTGTCATTTTAAAAGGATTAAAATGCAGCAAATCTAATATTTGTGATTCAGGCTAGCATAACTCTGAATACACAAAGACCTATTGAGTAAGATAATATCATTATTTTACACAGTCATCTCATCTTCCACAACAAATCACAGTGAGTAACAGGATACCCAAGTTAAATTATTATTTGCATTGTGGTAACACCTACAACATACTAGGGTGTCCAAACAGGGAGGAAGACACAGTCCCTTCCCAGGCAGCTTGCAGTCTAATACAATCACATGCAAAATGTGGGAACTAAGGTTGTCAGCCTCCAGGATTGTCCTGGAGCCTCCAGGAATGTAAGATTAATCTTTAATTAAAGATTATGCCATAAGATGAAACCTCCAGGAATACCTCCAACCAAAACTGGCAACCTTAGTGGGAGACAGGGACAATCATAAAGTTTTAATAGAAGTGAAACAAAAAAAAGTTACTTTATTATTTCATTATGTGCTCTTTTGTTATTAACTGTTATCAGGTTCTGGAAAAATAGGCTACAGACTTCAATTTTCTGCTTCAGATCCACTCACCACAAAATCAGTTGCTGAGGTGTGACAGAATTTTATGAGCTAATAGTCTGGGATATGTACACATCCACATACAGTGTTATGTTTCTGTAACAAAGGGGTTCTCTCCTTCACTAGAAGTAGTGTCCTCACTACACAAGAATTGCCCTACGTAAGAACCAAAATATATAGCATTATTCCACTAAAGCAGCTATGAGTTCTCTCTAAACCTAATGGTTGATTTCTATACTGATCTCTTTGTGCTGCTCAGTGTACCATTGACAATTATGAGTGCTACATTATATGTTCCTAAGACACCATAATAAGAGACTGGTGAAGAAGAGAAAATTACAAGAAACATAAATCCTTTGGGTTAGAGGCACCATCTACTGGTTCCTGTTGTCTCTGCATCACAGCAGGACAGATTTCACTAATCCTAAACCAATGCTAACAGATTCAGCCCTAGTTCTAACCAATGCTAACAGATTCAGCCCTAGATCTCTTCTTCTCCTTTTTTCTGTATTGGAAATGCTCAGGTCTAGTAACTCTTATTCAGAATTAATAAAATGATCCCCTCAGTAAAGGAGTGAGGAGTGGTTTAGTGCCATTACTAGGAAAAGACAATGAAGCCTCTCATTCAGAGAAATACATACATTAGAAGTTCACACGTGCAGAAGTAAAAATTAAGCATATTTTTAGGCAGTGTAGATTTTGATACTGGCCTGCAGAAAATCTTTAAAACTGCTAGAGGAAACACTGAGAACTAGTCTATTTCCCACTCTGCCCTGCTGCCCCCAACTCCCCCCCCCGTTCCCCCGCCCGATCTCCCACGGCCAGCCTCACAGCCCCCAACAATCCCCCAACACCCTCTTTATTCATGGAGCAATGAGGGTGGGGGGGTCACACAAATTCATTTAGAATTTTAGGGGGTCACGGTATTACAAAGTTTGAGAACCTCTGCTATAAGACAATGAGAATGTTTGCTCCCATTGACCTCCCACTGTGTAGATGGCATGGAAATGCGATTTGAGATACATTGACTCCTGTTACGTAATTATCTGGAAATAGCAACAGTTACAAGCGAGTAGAAAGGTTTAAAATGTATTAGAGGACTTCAGAAGATGCAGAATGGATCTTTGCTATGCCTCCTAGAAATGAAAAGATGGGGGCACTTGTTAACAATGTGTTTGATGGTTTAGAGGTATCTGAATTCACATAGGCTACGTCTAGACTGCAAGCCTCTTTTGAAAGAGGCTTTTTCGAAAAAGAGCATCCAGATTACAACCAGTACTTTAGAAAAAACAAGCCGCTTTTTCGAAAGAGGGCACCCAGGCTGTCTGGATGTTCTCTTTCAAAAAAGCACTGTTTGCATTACATAGTGCCTTTTTTCAAAAGAGCACTTTTGAAAAATGGCGTTATTCCTCATAAAACAAGGTTTTCCAAGGTAAAAAAAACTGCCGTGTTCTTTTGATTTACTTTTGAAAGAACGCGGCAGCAGGCTAGATGCAGGGGAAGTTTTTTTGAAAAAAGGCCACTTTTTTAAAAAAAACAACCTGTAGTCTCGACACACCCATAGTGGAAGATCCTTGATTCTCTATTTGTGCATCTGGTACATGCATTTTCCAAGTAAGATCTTAATATCATTCATGATTTGTCCACTGTCTTCAGAGGAAAAAGAAACTAAGCATAAAAGGTAGGTTCTGACTGGTCATAAGAGAGAGCACCTACAAAACAATGTAGGATACTAAACAAAATAAAACAGAACATGCAAGCGAAGTTTAATACACTGAAGAGACTAGTTATATAAAATCTCCTACTCTCAAAGTTGTTCTAATAAGCTTCTCTCACAACCTTCCAGCCTGGGCCGAGCTGCAGAGCTTTTCCAGGATACTTAAGCTCTGCCGCGTCCAAGGAATGCAACCCCTTTTTTGGAACAGTTTCCAAAAAAGAGGACACATTCTTTGGCATCCCTGTATTCCTCATTGTATGAGTAATAAGGGATGTTCTGAAAGAGGAGGCTTTTCTGAAATTTGGCCCCGTGTAGATGGGCCAAATTTTGGAAAAGCCTCTTCTAAAAAAAAGTGGAAAAAGATATGCAAATTGTGGTTTGCAATTTGCGTATCTTTTTCCGATATAACCCTGCAGTCTAGCCTTATGGGTGGGATAGGCAGAGAGGACCGATGGCCTGGAATAATTCACTCCCCACTCTTAAACAGGTTTTGTATAATGTGAAAATGCTTTGTGTTAAGTTTAAATTTCCACTCTGCTCTTGTTGAAAAGTATATCACCCAGTCTGGATCCCAGTATGTAGTACTCAAGGGATTTAATGGCCCAATACTCAGAACAATCATCCGTGAATAGACTTGTTTTTTCTTTTTGTTTATACTATCCTGGCTCCTACCAAGACATGTGGCCACCAGGGGACATGGCCACATGTCTTGGTAGGAGCCCTCATACATCCTCCTCCCAGGCTTAGAGGAAAAATGCAAGTATATTCACAGATCATTGTTCTGAGTATTGGGCCATTAAGTCCCTTGAGTACTACTAATGGCTCTCACTTAACCATGACTACGTTAGCCACACCTCATATTTCTAACTTCACATTCAGGAATGATGCATGCATACAAATGGGATAATCATAGTCAATAGATTACAGACTTTCTAATGATATCTCACAAGAAGTACCTTGCATAGAGCATAGTCCAATTATGACATATTCACATTCCTGTAAAGAATATGGAATGCCTTATCATGGAGGGATGGAAAGCAAAGTGATGTGGCTGGGAGCTGATGGAGCTGAGCCAAGCAGAGCAGGCTGGGTCCATATTCCTTCCCCCAAAGCCTCTCCCCAAAATGACATGGGCCAGGGGATTAGTGTGAGGCCTGTCGCTGGCAGCAGGGGGTTGGCTCACCCCTGCACTCAGTGGTGGCAGCAGTGTGACTCCAGTCCAGTCTGCCTGCTCCCAGCCACATCTCTCTGCTTCTCACCACCAATGAGCTTGGGGGTGGGGGTGATCCAACCCCGTCCCCCAAGTGATATAGCTGGTAGTTGAGGAAGTGGAGGGGGCTAGATTGCTCTGTTTCCCACTGCTGGTAAGTGTGGGGGAACAATCCCACCCCTTCCTTCAAAGGCCCTCCCCCAAGTAACAAGTCTGGGAGTCAGTATGTGTGGGGCTGAGCCTGACCCCTGCCATTGGTGTAAGGCTGCCTGCTAGTCCTCTGGGCCACATCACAAGGTGGGGCCTGGGGCAGAGTGCATGATTGTCCTGGGCCTGCAGCCCTCTAGAGACAGCCCAGGGTAGAGTTTCCAACTGTCTTATGCAAATCCAAAGACCCTTTGACTGCCCCCTGCCTCACCTGTTCCCTGAGGCAATGCTCTTGTCCTTCCCCTTCTTTGAGTCTCCCCCCCATCACTCCATCTCCCCTCAGTTGCTCACATTCCCCACCTTCACTCACTTTCTCCAGGCTGGGGCAGAGAGTTAGGGTGCAGGAGGGGTTTTGGGGTCAGTGCTTACCTTACACAGCTCCCAAAAGCAACCAGCACATCCCTCTGGTAATGGCTCCTAGATGGGGTAGGGGTAGGGGCTTTCTGCATGCTGCTGCCCACAGGCTCCACCCCTGCAGCTCCCATTGGTCATAATTCCTGGCCAATGGGAGTTCCAGAGTTGGAGCTCAGTGCAGGGGCAGCACATGGAGACCCTACATCCAAGGGGTTGCAGGGCTGTGCTGATTAGGGATGTGAATAGGTAACCCTGCCCCCATCTTTTCCAGCCCCTACACCACACCGGCCCTGTCCCCACTCCACCCTTTCCAAATTCCTGTCCTGCCTCTTTCCGCCTATGCTCCACCCCATCCCAACCCCCCAAACCTGCACCACTGCCCTGCCTGTTTCTGGCTTCTACCACCTCCCCCAAGTGACACCAAGAACTGGATGTGGGGTGGAGAGGGGCAGAGTGGAGTGGGGCGGGCTGGGGCCAGGTCGCTCAGCAACTGGTGCCTGGCTCTCTACTAGCCCCACAGGTCCCCCTGAAGTACAGGGCCCTGCAAAGCACAAGGCCCAGGGTGGTTGCCCCAGTCTGTCCTCTGGGCAGGACAGCTCTGCTTGGTTTCATTCTGGGCACCACCCAAAATTATACAAATCGGGTACCCATGGTCATTACAGCAAATGGAAGCAGAGAGCCATGAAATAACCTGCTGCTTTGTGCAATCTGCCTAGGAAAGGGCCTCAGCTTTTCTTAGGGAAGAGTGGCTAAGCCCACCTGCAGCCCAAAAAGAGACACAGCTTCTGAAAACCAAGGTCACTGTCCAGCAAGTACCAAGGTGCTGCTGTCATCCCATTGCAAGTTTTCCCAGGCAATGCAAGAGTCACTGCACCTTTCTCCAGTAAGTACCATTGGGGGTGGGGGGTTTTACAGTGTTTTCAGGCTCAACTAAGCAGCCACTAGTTAGCACTGTTGATCCATTGGAGAGGCCAATGAAAAGGACTGTGTGATGAACAGTAGCAGTAGCAGTGCCCATCAACAAACATAACAGATTTTAAGAGAACTCTTGTCTGATATATATTAACTAATACATTGTACTCAGACAGCTGACTAACTGTATTGGTCCAGCTATCATTAATCAAGGACTATCATTGGTCAGGAAATTATCTTAAATAGTGTTTGCTGCCTATGTGCCCTTTGTTATGCCTAATATACATTTTCTAATTATCATCAGGCCCATCTGAGCTCTGGCAATAAGGTGTGCATCCTCCTTCTTAGTTTGCAACTCTGCCCTGAGAGAGTTAAAAGTATGGCCCAAATAGTCAAAATTACAAAACGCAAATTGTGCATGCTAGTAATCCTAGTACCTCTGCATCCTAGTAATTGGGCATGTAAGTAACCAGGCAGATATTTTGCTAGTAGTTTGCATGAACAATTAGAATGATTCATGAACCCAGCAAATGAATAAACAAATTATATGCATGCTGCTTTCATGCACAGTTCTTAACTTTTAGAAAAGCTTAGCTGTGTGTATACATTCCATTCTTGTTTAAATTGTATCACTGACATAAAGGCAGCACAACCTGCGAAACACTGATGAAAAAATTGCTTTTGAAAAATTCAGAGTGATTTGCAAAGTAATGCACAGCAAAAACCTTCACCACGACAACAAGATTACTTCAAATTGTCTAAAAGGGAATTCAGAATGAAGGTGTTTTCTTTTATGCAAATGACACTTTGGAGGGTTGCTTTTTCAGTACTTTGAGGCAGTGATAACTGGTGTGCATGACAGCAGGTGAGAACTGATGCTCTGAGGCTTTAACAGAAATGTAGCCCAGGCAGAATTTATTGATACAGAGACACAAAAACTTGGCATTGGAAATATTACAGTGGGGCAAAAGGAAAATTGAAATCCTGAAACTTTGCCACTCTGTAGCTTTTAAAAAGTTGCAGAAGTTTTGAAAAATTAGGGTGGAAGAAAGGAAAAGACATCTCCCTCTACCCCCACAAAATAACCCAACAAAATACCCCCAAAGAAACCCTGGATAATATTCTGTGTATTGCACTAGCATAAAGCAAAAAGGGGGGAGGGGGAAGAAATATAAAATCTGATATTTTAAAACTAGTTTGCAAAAAATTAGAAAACAAATATTCAAAACTGTTCCTCTTTGAACTCTGTGAAATGGGAAAAGTTTTGAATCCTCACATTTTTTGACAGCCTCACATAGAGGCTTTTACAGTCAGTAGCAGCGTGCAATCATACTCTGAGACGGTCTGCTGGTGGGTTAGCACTGGCACAGTTGCACTGCTAGGACAGGCAGAGATTGTTGCAATGCAGATGTTAGTGAGAAGGGCTGAGGGAAGTTTGGGTTGAACAGAAACCGTGGTGAAAGGTGAGGCTGAGATTTTTTTTTCCTGTGACTGCTTGTTTTGTGGAGAAAACTCTTTCTAGAAAAGACGCCTGAGAAATAGCAAAGGGCCATTGAAGATGATAACTCAGTTGAAAGGCTCTGAAGAGAAAACAGGCAAAGTAGCCAAAGCAAAAGTAACCCTATTTATGTATTTATTTATTTAAATAAAAGAACAAGAGGGAGCTTTGTCTAACTATTGTGCCACACAAAATATCCCAGCAGATTTAGCAGCAGCAGCAAAATACTTTCCTGCTGTGTTTGCAGCAGCAACAATTAGAAAACACACCCGAGGGTCATCTACACATTACATAGGGGTTAACACCCTGAAAAATAAGCAATTAGTTCTTTTATGTTGAGGGAATATGATAAATTCTTTGGAATGGATTAGGAGGGGGGTTCTGGGTCTGTGTTCTCATCTCTGACTCTTCCCATGAACTCCGAAGTGGCAAGGGAAAATGGTTCCATTCTGTAGTCCCGCAAGAGTTTTTTCACTATTAGCTAATCCAGAAAGAACATTATGCCAGGGATTTTTTTAAATCTGAGCACGTTGTGATGGGGACACCCCGCCCCCGGTGCAACCTGGGACTGTGGGACCCGTATATCCCCTTAACTCTCTCTAGCTGGGCTGTCTCATGTAATGCTTTGCTAGTGACCAGTAGCATATGCTCCAGGCATTGCTATCACTCAAAACAACTGCATGTGGAGCACCACACGCAGCTGCTAGATTGAATGAATTCTCCTAGAGCTACTCTTGAATATCTCAGAGTAAGGCACCAGAGCCAAATCCCCCCAGCTCCCAGCGCTATATACCCCAGGGGCATACTGTCTAATTTGTTAACTAGTTTACTACTTCATCAATAGAAAGTGGATATACACCAGCTTTTATAAAACCCGAGCAAACACTTCATACAAACTCACTGGTAAAGATAAACAATAAAAGAAGTGTTAGGCAAAAAGTCAGAGTAGTTACCAAAAGAAAAGAAAATATAAACATGTAGTCTACATTCTCAGTCCTATTAGATTTGGCAACAACTAGATCAAGCAGCGGTTTTCTCACCCCACTGGATATTGCAACCCGTACTAGACAGATTTCACCCCTGAAATCTGGCCAGTCCCTTCAGTTGGAATCTTTAGTCTTCTCAGTATTCCAGTTGCTTGCAGCATAGGTGGGCGAAGGAGAAAGACCACACATGGGCCCCTGTGTTTGTTTTTAGTTCAGATGCTTGAAGAATACACATGTCTGGTAGGCACTGCTGAGTCCCGAAGCAAGGTTGAGCAATCCCTTTGGTGCAGTCTCATGCAGGTGATTCATTGAATTGTGGCTCCCTGGTTGGATGCTGGCTGGTGAGGTCTGTTCCACAGCACCTACCTCAGTCTATCCCCTGCTTAGCTTAAGGCAGTCTTCCAAACCATGAATTAATCTTGTTTTTCTCCTCTTTGTTCTCTCTACAATCCTGAATACCATATTTTAAAGCCAAGCAAAGTATATACAATATACTAGGTGGGGTATGTTTGGTTCTCTGATTTGAAATGTTTTCCTTTGCATTTCTTATATCTGTACTTTACAGTAGTGATAGACCTCCGTGGTTTGGAAGCCAAATTAGCAGGAACACACAATGAGTCATATTCCCCACTATGCCCATTAAGCTGTGATAATAGATGCATGATGTGTTGTGTATCTTCTTTCTCTTTGCTTGGCTCACATCAAGAGGAGAATGATAAACATTGATAAGTTTGCAGTGATAAACCCCCATCTCTGCCAATTTCACCAGGCAAATGACCTGCTGGGCTTCCCTTACTGTACTTGGATCCCCTTTTAATTTGAACACAAAGTCCCACAAGATCTCAGATAAGACAGATAAAACAAGATAATCAAAACCAAAGCTGAAGGACTTTGAAAATGAACATATGCAACAGCGATACTTGGATCCATTTGTTTCAGCATTTAGTAACAAGGTTATCTTAGAAGAAAGAATTACATTCCATTTTAGAAGAAAGCTAGTTAAATATTGAGGTGTTTAAAACGGGATTTATGCACACATTTTTTGTTATAATGAACAAAAGATGTATACACCTCCTGCACTATTTTCAGACGCAAAGTCTGGGGGAGGCTAAAAAGCTGTGGGGCTTAAAAGGGGGCAGGCAGAATTTGTCACTTTCATTTCTAAGAAAACAATAGACGTCTCACTTTTTTCAGGCCCCCCTGGAAGCACTGACCATTAGGCTATCTAATCAGACAACTTAATAATAACAGGTAATCAATTTTCATTTAGTTACCTCTATACTAAGCGTATGTAAAAATGGTAGAAAAAAAAATAACCATTGTATTTACAGGGAAACATAACAGAGACATGCCCAAGGGTTTGGAAGTAGAGAAGAAAAGTGGAATAAGTAAAGTTCCATTACATAAACACTTCTAACTCAGAAAGACCAGAGAAAACTCCATCTTTAAATCTTGCCTTTGATGTATTATCTACAACTTCTGTTAGACTACTGGTGTGCTAAGACTATTGTGTATCATGCTCGCCAATATTGTCTCATTGTTGGCTTGTATTGCGTTTCTTTCTTTCCACCTGTTGTTGCTTGTACTACACTTAAATGATAAGCTTTTAGGGGCAGAAACTGTCTTTATATTGTGTGCCTACAGCACTTAGCTCAATAGGGTTCTGCTGCAGGACTAACACTTGGAGGTGCTACACAGTATAAATAATAAGAGCAGCAGAACAACAATGGAAAACTTCACCACATTCTGCTCACCAGGAAAAACTTGGCTATCTCTCCAGAAAGATGCTAGTGAGCACCTTGTGATAGGTTAAATCACAGAGGCTCCCCTGGGGTTCTGATCCAGCCACTGATGCCTGCCTTCCTCCCCACTGGGGCTCCTCACCACCCTTTCCTGCTGGGCCAGAAGCTTTGGACTCCCCCAGCCAAAGCACAGAATTGATGTTACCTGTCCCCCTCCCCTTCTCCAGAACAACACACAATGAACCAGCTCAGCTCTGGGAGGGCTCAGTTGTAAGATCACAGCACCCAGGAAACCAACCCCCAAAAGGTGCCAACTCCCCAAATAAACCCATCTTACTCTGTATAAAAGTTTTACACAGAGAAAGCTCATAAGGTCCACCCCCTTCATCAATTAAAGGGAGATATGCACAGTGGTTGCTGCTCCCCAGGTAACAATTACTTACACTGGATTTGATAATAAACAAAAGTGTTTTTATTAAGTACAAAAAGTAGGATTTAAGTGGGTGCAAGTGAAAATAGTCAGATCAAACTAAATAACTAAGTTAAAATAAATAAAACATGCCAGTTAATCTTATTCCACTAAGAAACTTTTTTCATGAAAATTCTTACCCTAAACAGTACTTAACATCTCTTTCACAAGCTAAACAGCCTCCTAGCTTGGGCCCAATCTTTCCCCCTGGTCAGTGTTACATATTTCCAGAAGATATCTTAGATAGTAAGATGGGGGTGGGGCAGCAGGGGAGGGAGACCTCCTGATGTAATTACAAGTGCCCCTATTGTTTGGTTTCCCTCTCTTATACTCCTTTTGCCCAAAGTGGTAATTTTTGTGCTCTGTTTAAACTTTTCTCACCTCAAGTAGACAAATACAGGATCCACAATGGGTTCCAGAATCAGGTGACCTGGCCACATGTCTTTCTGGGACAAACCACAGTTTGGGCTTACAAGACAAACAAGACTATTCACAGGAAAACTTAAAAAAAAGAATAAGTCTGGTAGCACTTTAAAGATTAACAAAACATGTAGATGGCATCATGAGCTTTCGTGGGCACAGCCCACTTCTTCAGATGACCGGAGTGTTGGATGTCCAGAACTAAAATAAATAGGGAAAAGGGGCATAGGGGGCAGAGAAGGAAAAAAAGGGAGGGGGGAACAAGAAGAGGTAGTGGGTATAAAAATATCAAGGGGAAAGACAAGCTGGAATGTAACAGGAAAAACAAATAGTCATACTGCATCTAAAGACTGGATAGTCAAAAGAGGCAGATAAGAACCATTAGTAGTCAATAGAGAAGAGGAGTACTAACAGCAGACACAATACAGACAAAGAACCATTGGCACCTTCATTGTTTGGTAGGTTGATAATGTCCCAGCCATCTGGTATCTTTATTTAATCCATTAGCATGAGTATCAAACTTGTGAATGAATTGTAGTTCCAGTCCTTCCCTGTGTATTTGGCTTGTAGAATGGATCTGTAACAAAACAGCCACTTGAAGATCTGTTAATTAATGTCCAGGTAGATTGAAGTGTGCCCCAACAGGTTTCTGTATGTTCCCTTTACGTATAGCTGATTTGTGTCCATTAATTCTTTCCTGTAGGGACTGTCCAGTTTGTCCAATATATATTGCAGTAGGGCATTGCTGGCATTTGATGACATCGATTACATTCCTGGATATGCAGTTAAATGAACCTCTGATTTGGTGGCTTATGTGGTTGGCTCCAGTAATGAATTTGCTTGTATAGATATGTGGGCAGAGTTGGCATTACAGCTGATTACAGGGCTGGGTTCCTGGGTGTTTATGATGTAATTGTGTAGCATGGCTACTGGAGAGAATTTGTTTCAGGTTAGGAGGTTGTCTGTAAGCAAGAATAGGCCTTTTCCCCAAGGCCTCTGAGAGTGAAGGATCATTTTCCAAGATAGGTGGTTCATGCTAATTGATTAAATAAATATACCAGATGTCTGGGACATTATCAACCTATCAAACAATGAAAGTGCCAATAACTCTTTGTCTGTATGGATATGTCTATACTACAGCATTATTCAAAATAGTTAATTCAAAATAAAATATTTAGAAATAACCCATCTACACACAAAATGCATTTCAAAATAGTGTTTTGCTATTTGGAAATAGCACATCCACACTGATTGGACGCTGAATCGCATTTAAGGGCAGCTGAATGGTTCCAGCAGAGCATCAGGTCACTAGTTGCTTTGTGTGGCTGCTGCCTGAGGCTATCTGAGGCTTGTGCTTAAAGGGACCCTCCTGCACAGCTGGTTCTCAGCTTTCCCTGCTTGCTTGCCTACCTCACTGAGGGTATGTCCACGAGGCGTACAGATAGTTCGGAATAGCTTGCTAGTCTGAACTATCTAGCCCGTGCCGCGTGTAGCCGCGCGGCACGGGGTTCAAACAAGCTGGCATTTAAAAATGGCGCCGGCCGGCTTATGCAAATAAAGCCCGGGAAATTCAAATCCCGGGCTTCATTTGCACGTTCGGTATGCATACATTACCCCGCTAGTTCGAACTAGCGGGGTAGTGTAGACATACCCTTAGGATGTATCTAGATTACAGGGTTTTGTCAACAAAAGTGGCCTTTTGTTGACAAAACTATACCTGGTCTACACGACCGCTAGGTTCTGTCAACAGTAAGTCAACAGTATGGGCGGCAGGTTTGTATAATTTTGGGCGGTCTTCCGGACCCCCCTGGGGCCATGGAGGAACAGCAGCAGTGGCACTTGGACGCCAGTGTGCCCCATTCTGCAAGGCGAGGATGGCAGGTCTCCGCACCATCATGTCCTGCTATCCCCGGGAGTGTGAGCTGGTCCCTGTGCTGTATAAAACCCTGGTGAGACTTGGGAAAGGAAGTGGGAGATGGGAGGAGAGAGGGGAGGGGATACCTGGGAAGAGGGACCTGGAAGGGGGAGGCAAGGGGAGAAAGGGGGAGGAGAAGCTCAGGGTGCAGGAGGCTGTCCTGGACGGGGTGGTGCGCCTTGCACTCGCAGCTGGTGCAGCTGTGAAGAAACCAGAAATGGTCTCTGTTATCCCTGGGGACACAGTGAGTGAAATCTGGCGAAGATGGCACACCTTCATGTCCTGCTATCCCCGGGAGTGTGAGCTGGCCCGGGACTGCACCCATGCCCCTGTGCTGTATATAGTGTGGGTGTGGGGAGAGGAGGGAGGGAGATGTGCCCTGCTTCTGCGTGGAGTGGGCTTCTGGAGGGAGGACATTGTGCAGTGCCCCTCCCCAGGGTCAGGAGCATGTCATGTGCCTTCATACATACATGCGTGTGCGTAACAGACCAGGGCCCGTGTGGCAGCCAGCCAGGGCCACATGTCCTGGTGAGCACGGCCCATGCACAGGTTGCTGCATGATCCGTGGTCAGCAAGGCCCATCTGTAGATGGCCACATTCCTCCATCTAGTGCAGAGATCAGGGACGTTGGAGGATTCCTCCCAAACCTCAATCAGGTCCATGATCTCCGCACTGGACCAGGAAGGCGCCCACCTTTTGCAGCCCCTTCCAGGCTCCTGGGAGCTGCCAGACTGCTCCTGGGGAGCGGTGGAGGGCTGACTGGCACTGCCTGGCTGGCTCATGCTGGCAAGTGGGTCAGGGGCAGCACCTGTGGGCTCTGGGATGGAAGGTTTGGAGCAGAAGAGTTTTCCTGGTTTGCCCAGAGTGGCCACTAGAGCACCCAGGGAAGTGCTGGAGGCCCCCTAGTTCGAAATAAATGTCTATACAGCACTTAAGGTACATCTACACTAGCCCCCAAGTTCGAACTAGGGAGGCTAATGAGGACAACCAAAATTGCATGTTCCTGGGTGGTCACCATTTTGGAAACTGACTAGCCTGGAATAACTGCCTGCGTCTACACGCAGCAGAGAAGCGCGATTCTGAGATAAACCCCTTAGTTCGAATTAACAGATAAAAAACAACAAATAGTCTGGTAGCACTTTAAAGACTAATCTGCAGGATAGGGTCATAATTCAAAATGACCTGAACAAATTGGAGAAATGGTCTGAGGTAAATAGGATGAAGTTTAATAAAGACAAATGCAAAGTGCTCCACTTAGGAAGGAACAATCAGTTTACCTGATGTTACCTGCTTATTCATGACTTCATTTTCCTATTCCTGACTCATGCTGTCCACAAACCCTGCTGTGTTTACTTTTACAAGGAACAAAAGGTATCACAAAAGAAGAGTGAGGTGTGAATACATATCAAGAAACACCTCCTGATCTTCTGCTATTACCCTCGTTTTACCTGCCCTCCCTCCCTCTCCCAACATGGGTCATACTTTGTTCTGCTCAACCTTTGGCCCTAGTCCTGAACTGAAAGCCTTGCAGGAAGGTCTCCGTGACCCCCCATCAACTCCTATGCCCCACACCGGTGCAGGGATCCCTCCATAAGGTTCATAAGTGTCATGAACATCTACGGAATTGTATAAATAAGAATAACTTCAAGCAAGAACTTTCAGGGATTGATGCTGCCATGGATTAGCAATCCCCCATTACCTTCAATTGGTAATTCTACATCACCTGGTCATACTAACGTACCGCAAGTCTAACATCACTCCTGGTGCCTGCTTGGGAAGGTACCTGCTTGCTTCCATTCATTCAGCCCTTGATCACACAGCCCCTTGGTTCGAGGGCAGATCATATTTCTGTCCCTTTGGGAGGCCATAAGACACACACAGTGTTGCCTGCCTCTCAAAGGGGTACAGAAAGTTCTCCTTTCAAAGCAGCAGACAATACTGTCCTCCTTACCTCCCCTCAAACAGTTAGCTTCTCCTAAGGTTGCTTGCAATAAATATTTGATCTAACAGGTATCTAAAAGGGTGTCATAAGGAGGAGGGAGAAAACTTGTTCATC